TTGGTTCCGGCGATGACCTACGTCATCCTCAAGGCGATGTTCATCGGCCTGAGCCAGGAGGCGCCGATCGTGCAGACGGTGGCCCTGGTCATCATCGAGACCCTGATGCTGATCGGCATCAGCATCCTGCGCCCCTGGATGGACCGCAAGACCAACGGGTACAACATCGCGATCGGGGCGATCAACTTCGTGAATGCGATTTTCCTCCTGTTCTTCTCGCAGGTGTTCGACCAGCCGGGGATCGTCACCGGCGTCATGGGGGTGATCTTCTTCGTGTACAACGCGGCCTTCGTGCTGGTCCTGCTCGTTCTCGTGCTCGTCACCTCGGCCTTTGCCATCTTCTCGAAGAACCCGGACCTGCGCTACCAGCCCATGCGCGACGACCGCGGCTCGTTCATCAAATCGCAGAGCCAACTAGGGATGACGGAACTGGACGCGTTGGGCTCGACCGCCCGCGGCGAAAGCCCGATGAAGCGATTTTACATGGCCGGCGAAGGGAATGTGTCCTCCAGTGCCACCGGTCTTGGGACCGCGGGCGCAGGAATCCCCGGCAGCCGCAGCCGCGACAGCATTCCCAGCCATCGCAGCTCCGCCTCCCCGACCACGCGCTCCTCCCTCGTGCCCAGCACCGCAAGGGGTCCCAGTCCCGTGGGTCAAGTGGAATCGCCAGCCGCGGATGGTGCTTCGGGGCGCGCCAAGCATGTCAACGCATGATTTTTTTTGTTTTGGTTGGTGGAGTTTCATTTGACGGTTTAGCTGATTTGATTTGATTGAGATGGGATGAAGGCGTTGAAACTCGAGATTTGTTAGCTGGGATCTTGCTTGGGTTGTTTTTTACACATGTTGATATTCGCTTTTTCGAATCTGAAAAGTCGATTTGCTATTTCTTGTGCCGGAGTGGCAATTCGTCGCGCAGTTGTCGCGTAGCGGACGGTGGGAATGGGTCACCACTGAACAGGATTCTGTAGATCCCCAAACACCCTAGGATGGATTCATTGGAGAAAAAGGGAAGACCACAGAAAGCTAATGCCAATATAATGGGTCAAATCAAGACATCGGCGTAAGGGGGGAATCAGCAATTGGTGTTGACCGATCCTTCCAAGACCAGCCCGCAGGTCGCCCTTCGCATATTGTGGTCTCGATTGGATTCAACGGCGACTGTAGGTAGGTGTCTGATAAGCAAACTAGACAGCTGGAAACTTGTCACAACAGAACAGGATAACTTTTGTTGATGATCTGAGGATAACTTACACAGTGGCTAGGACTAGCTAAGGCAATACCCATTCCAAGTTGCGGCTTCATTATATTCCTGCGCGCACATCGCGAAGACCATTGACATTGTCACCCCGTGTGTATCAGCCACGCCTTGCCTTCACGGAAACCTTGCCCCACCCCTCCTCGATCTTAATACACATGGAAGTACAGTACCTCCTGCTAGAACATACGCAGGCATTGCCGCCCCCGGATAATGGCAGATAGCTTGAGATCAGATACCGAGTTCATGAGATCGACAAGACGCGCCAGCATGGCACTGCATGGCACTGCCAGCTCTGCTGAGGTAGAAAAGGCCACGCAATGCCTCAGATGTCATTACAACCTATACCCCGACAGAATCTTCGAGTCTACCAACCTGCTATCTTCTCGAACCACGCCATGATCGCCGTACCACTACGAGGACTGTACAATACCAGAGTCTCAACCAGTAGAACCCGCCTTTCCCAGCCCCCTCAACCCTTTGTGCAACCCCTTGCAGACGTGACAAGTATAAGACCCCAGCACAACAGGATCGCATCCGCAAAGCCAAACATCTTCAGGACTGGTGCTCCCGTTCCTGCTGCTCCTGCTCCTTCGGCTCCGTCGCATCCTGCCCCGGATTCGCCTCGGCATAATTGAACGCCTTCGCGAAGCGATAGTACCCGGCCGCCAGAAGCGCGCCCATCAGCGGCCCGATCCAGTAGATGTAGTGGTAGCCCGGGAAGCTGGCGGCCGCGACGTCGGGGCCGAACGAGCGGGCCGGGTTCAGGGAGCCGCCGGTGAAGTAGACTCCTACAACAGCACCCGCCAATTTCATTTAGATTACTTCTCCTCAGTCTTATGGTGGGAGGGGGGCAACGGAGGGAAGAAGGGCACGTGGCTTACCAGCCAACTCCGCCACAAACAGCGCCAACCCAATGCCCACCGGCGCCAGGAACGTGGCATTATGCTTCTCGGCCGCCAGCATCAGGATCGTGACCACCAGCAGGGTAGTCAAGAACATCTCGATGAAGAGGCCCCGCGTGATGGAGGTGTCGGCGTTGAGCCGCGTCTGCACGACCGCGATCGACCCGGGGAACATGCACGAGACCAGCGCGGCGGCCACAATGCCGCCCAAGATCTGGGCGGGCAGCAGGAATGCGCAGCGGAGCCAGGGCATTGTTCCCGCCAGCGAGAGACCGAGTGTTACCTGCGCCCACCCCCCAAGGGGTCGTTAGGGTTTGGTTTGTGTTCTACGGGTGGAAAAGAGGGGGTGAGGGTTGGCGTACAGCTGGGTTGTAGAGCCCGCCGGAGATCCGGTAGAAGGCCCAGGCCACCACCAGCAGGGACATGCCGAAGCTCAGGGAGATGTAGAGTAGGCGCTGCGGGGTGATGGTGTCGCCGTCGCTGGCGCTGGTCGCGGCGGCTACTTGCGTCCCGGCGAAGGCGAACCAGAGGAAGAGGACGGTCCCGACGAATTCGCTCGATGCGGCGAGGAGGTGGTTCTTGAGGGCTTTTCTTCTTTGGTGGAGTTGGGTTCGTTCGTTGGTGGTGCGTGGCGGTTGATGTTCCACGTCTGTGTTTTGGGATGAATTCTGCATGGTTTGTAGGGGGAGGAGGAGTTTCGGGGTCTGGTTTGGGGTAGGTTGGGGTTTGTGTAAGGTAGCATAGGAGGCAAGCTGGTGATTCTTGTGATAGTCGATTTATTCTTACTATATATTTACGAGAGGATCTGTTTATTAGGGCTGGTGATATCCGGAGGAGTACATTGGATGGTAGTTCTGGGTCGATGAGAATGCTATATCGGGCGTCACGATGACAGCATTCGAGAATTGAGGAAGAAATAAGCGACAAAAGTACCATTCCCACGGATTGAGTTTGTGTGTATGCTGGCAAGGTGTAATCAGATTAATGGGATACAGGACTCAGGATCGGATCGCATGTCCATGAAGCCAGTCATTGATTAAGGTGAATAGGGAATTCTTTGGCGAGGACCGATATGGTGCCTAATATGCTTGAATCGTGGTTGAAAAAGATGAAGTGTTATGAGCAGAAATTCAATATCTAATCATCTGATATTACAAACTTGCGCGATTTCTGCCAAGTGCCTGGTATCGGGGGAGGATCCACGGTCCTGTTGAATCACCGCGGCGGCTCAGCTACCAGCCACAAGATTGGGATTTCAGTCCCTCGGATTTCCTCTTGAATAAAGTTTTGCGGGGTGGTTGGTCGACAGGTGACTGCCACGTGAGGATATCCGATTCGCTTCGAGAACATCTGGTAATAGGTGACGTGAGCATTACAGCTACAGCTTCGATCTTCAGTGTCTCCCTATTGTATGAGTGTGCCAACATAGTGGTCTGGAAGTGTCCCCATCCTTGGTCCTATGGTCCTTGGTGGTTAGGATGGGCTTGCTATTATTGGATGGGGGGAGCTTACCGTAGCCAATGTATGCTTCCAAGTTTGCAGATTCAATGTTCAATTCTACAGATCGTTTAATAACATCTTGTCCTGCAACCCTGATCCTTTGGACATGCACAGCACACACCTTACCATGAATCCTCCCTCTATATGCCGTCTACTCCCGATGGACAATCGTGGACGTCACTAACCCTTTTTTTTTTTTTTGGTTACAATTAGCTGATTGATTCGAAGCGACTAAGGGACATCCTTGAAAAGAACTACATTCATAAATTGCTGGGTAGCCCTGCCGGCATCGCTAGGGGTTTGTCACAAACCCAGGACCACTTCAATCACAGAAACTCCTAATATTGATAGAATGTCTCGCAAGAACAAACCTGAAAGACCGACAGTCGCAACCTCATTCCAGCTGAACTTTAGCAATGTAGTCACTAATGTAGTGAGATCTTCAGTCAGAGATTCGGAATCAGGGGTCTATCGCTTTGTAGAAGCTGGCCCCGGTAGTCCAAAAAACGAATGACATAGTTACCTGCCTAATGACCTTTCATGCTCTAGTGGTCTGCATATGCTGAATAGATGGAACTGGTCAGCGGAAGATTACCACCAGTGGCATCTGTGGTTGCTGGTGATAGCTGGATATGAACCACTACAGATTCGTGGCAAGTTGAAGCAACTGGTGAGTATGGAAAAGATGAACCACCGCAATGGCTACTAAGGTTAATTTGGGACTACTTAGTTCAGCCGCTGGAAAGTATTTAGCAGTAGTGAAAGTAGTAGAAAATACATATAGTAATCGATGAGCAACGTATGGTAGTACAACATGGAGCGAGTGATCGTATACTCTTCTTGTTGAAGCAGAGGCACCGACCGCATCGGGCGAGCGGCCGGGACTGGCAGCAGAATACTTGGGTACTACTATTACTACCATCTACCTACTTTCCCCCTCATTCAATGTTCTCCATTCCATTCCAACTCCTCCTGATCAGACCACCTCACATCCATCTTCCCTTCCATCATGGAGATCACAGACAACCACACCTCATGCAGTAAAATAGCCGATAGCCGAATTCGCAGTCGATGCGGGGTTGCTGTCAGCAGCAGCCATTGGCTACAACCCAGCCAAGGCGACGCAATCCCCGCCGATCATGCTGCTTATCAGCCGACTCCCGATAGACGACGCAGAGGCAGTGCATGTAGACACGGCGCAACAGTGCGGGGATGCAGACGACTGCCTTTAAATTGAGCTCGCCCGTTACCTATGCTGGTTGCTGCTCGAACCTCCTTGTGCATTCTCCAGCACCTTTCAACCCCAAGTGATAGTGTTTACAATCTCAACCAACCCCACCATGGCACCCAAACGCCCCAACTTCCTCGTTGTCGTAGCCGACGACCTGGGCTACTCAGACATCGGCTGCTATGGCGGCGAGATCCGCACCCCGAATCTGAACCGCTTGGCGGAGGAGGGTGTGCGGTTTACCGACTTCCATGCCGCAGCAGCGTGCTCGTCTGTCACCCCTTCCTGCTGGTTTTACTGTCTTGGCATAACGCTGACTGTCCGATAAAATACAGCCCCACCCGCGCCATGATCATGACGGGAACGGACCACCACATAGCGGGCCTCGGCAACCTAATCGAGTGGACCAACATCACCGGCCAGAACGGGCCCAAGGGGTCGCAGATGTCCACCGCCCCGCAACGCGGGATGCCGGGCTACGAAGGCTATCTCAACGAACGGGTGGTCGCGCTGCCTGAGCTGCTCCGCGACGCCGGCTACCACACCCTCATGGCCGGCAAGTGGCATCTGGGGCTGACCCCGGACCGCGCCCCCTGTAAGCGGGGCTTCGAGCGGTCGCTGGCGCACCTCCCGGCTTGCTCGAATCATTACGCCTTCGAGCCGCAGCTGGCGGGCGCGGATGAGACGCCGACGTTTCTGGAGGCGAGCTTTATCGCACTGCATATGGAGGACGACCAGTACGTGAAGAAGTTACCGGAGGGGTGGTACTCGTCCGATGGGTACGGGGACCGGATGTGTCAATACCTGCGGGAATGGCACGAGCGGGAGGATGATGGTGAGAAAGGGGAAGAACAGCGGAGGCCGTTCTTCGCTTACTTGCCTTTCACGGCGCCGCATTGGCCGCTTCAGGCGCCCCGGGAGTATATCGAGCATTATCGCGGGGTGTACGATGAGGGGCCGGATGTGCTGCGGCAGAAGAGACTGGAGAGGCTGAAGGCGTTGGGCATGATCCGCGAGGATGTGGAGGCGCATCCGGTCGTCGCTGAGGGGGAGGTCAAGCCGTGGGAGGAATTCACTCCGGAGGAGAAGGTGTTGTCGTGTCGCGCGATGGAGGTGTTCGCTGCGATGGTCGAGTGCATCGATGCCAATGTTGGGAAGGTGGTGGATTACCTGGAGTCCATCGGCGAGCTCGACAACACCTTCGTCTGCTTCATGTCGGATAACGGTGCAGAAGGGGCCGCGTACGAGGCCTACCCGATGGTGCAGAGTGGCGTGATGCCGCATCTGCAGAAGTACTATGACAACTCTCTGGAGAATTTGGGGAACTACAACTCATTCATCTGGTACGGGCCGCGGTGGGCGCAGGCCGCAACCGCTCCTTCGCGATTGTACAAAGCCTACACGACGGAAGGTGGCGTGCATGTGCCCTTCCTGGCACGCTTCCCGGCCTCGGTGCGCGAAGCGGCGGACCACGTCAAGAACGGCAGTATCACGGATCAGTTCGCTACGGTCATGGATCTGGCCCCGTCGATCCTGGAGATGGCGGGCGTGACGCATCCGGCACCACTCTATCAGGGGCGGGAGGTCGTGCCGATGCGAGGGAAGTCGTTCTACCCCTGGGCGACGGGGGAGAGTTCCCGCATTCATGAGAAGGAATTTATCAAAGGCTGGGAGACATGTGGCCGGGCGGCATTGCGGTTCGGGGATTGGAAGATCGTCTATATCCCGAAGCCGAAGGGCCCGGAGCGATGGCAGCTGTACAACCTGGTCGAGGACCCTGGCGAGATCCACGATCTGGCCGAGGTGCATCCCGATCGATTGAAGCAGCTACTGAAACTGTGGGATCAGTACGTCATAGAAACCGGCGTGATTCCTCTCAATCCAGATTTGGGCGAGTTCCTGGAAGCGACAGAGGCGCAGATGCCGGAGAATGCGTGGATGGAGTACGACTACTGGAAGCAGGGGGCCAGAGACGAGCCGGAGAAGTTCATGAGGCAGCCTCCTCGGTTTCAGCGGGTGGTCAAGCAGTTCTGAGCGAGAGCTCGGGGTGGCTACGGCTATGCTAAGTATATAATGACCTTATGTATCGAAGAATAGCTCCAGTGTAACTGAACTCCAAGTGCTTTCCCATCAAAGCGTCTCCCTCGATCAACCAGAGCCCCTCCCCTCGGACCGATACGGCCGTGCTATACAATCCGGGAACGATTCAATAAAAGGCGCCGACGCCTCCAGCAGTAGCTGCCTCCTCCAAGCCCCTGGCTTCTCAATCCCAAACCCCGTACCCTCCCCGCTCTGAACCTGACGTAGCCCATGTCTCTCCCTCACAGCCACCCGCTCGGGACGCGTCCAAGCGCCCAACTCCCCATTCTCCCGTCGCACACGCAACCGCTCCCTCGACCGCCGAAGCCCCTCCAGCGCGCGCTCAAACTCCCATTCCTCCAACTTCACACTCCTACCGTACTGAAACCCAAAGACCCGATCCCGCTCGGACGGCCTCTCATTCAGGTACACATAGTAGTAGATCTCGTTCCGCTGCATGCGATCCTCCCCGCGGATCTCGGCATGCGATCGCCGCCGCCGGAGCAGCATCTCCGTAAGATTCCGGACATACAGGGGGAAGACATTCGGCGAGGTGCGGAAGAACAGCCGGCCTGAGTTGTCCTCGTTGCCATCGGGACTGGGGTGGGAGAGTGCCAGCCTCCGCCGGAGAGCGTCCCGCGCGTGATGGAAACTTATCGGCTGATCTGCAGTAGTAGTACCAGTACCAGTACCAGTACCGACACCAATACCAGCGCCAGTACCAGCAGCATTAGCAGCCGCAGCCGCAGCCGCAGACTTGTTGGGGATGTTCGATACAGCCGGATGCAGCGTCCCGGCCTCATACAGGAAAAAGGGCTCTTGCTGCTCGACCTCCGCCACATCACCACTGTAAACAATAACCCGCATCCCCCTCAGCGTCCGCACCCAATCCAGCTCCAATAACCCCCCATCCCAATACGTATCCTTCCCGCTGGCCGCCGGGAACGCCAGCGCCATTTCTACCGACACGGAGCGGAGGTGAGGGCAGGCGTGGCGGACTAATGCGAAGGTCTCGTGCCACTCCGCGGCGTGCGTTTCCATGCCCTGCGAGAGCGGGAGGAGGAAGGCGAGGTGGCGGATTGTTTGGATCTGGGGGCGGGTGAGGCAGCTGGTGAAGTTGGCGAACGCCTTGGTTTCTTGGGTGCGGAAGAGCGGGGCGCTGTAGGCGAGGTGCTGGGTTTCGTGGTGGAGTTGGCGGTTGGTCAGGAGGAGGGCGTAGCTGGGCTGGTAGTGGGATTTGTCGAGGGTGGTGGGGGATGGGTAGCCCGGGGAATCTAGGTGGGCGATGGTTTTGAGGTCGTGGGTTGGGTTGGTGTTGGGGGTGGGGGTGGTGGTGATGATGGCTTCTGGGTTGTGGTGGGGGAGGGGGCGGTTGTCGATGCTGCACTGGGCGGAAATGGGCTTTTTTTGGATGGTGATGGGTTGGGTGGTGAAGAGGTAGGTGTAGATTATTTGGCGGAGTTCGAGGGGGAGGGTTAGGAGGGTGGGTTTGGGGCTGGGGCTGTTTGGGTTAGATGGGTTGTTGAGGGATGAGTGAGGGGATGGCTTACCGGGGGGAGTCCATGATTAGGGCTGGGGAGATGCGGTTGAAGCTGTTGTGGTTGCTGTAGATCGTCGGTCGAGGGATAAACACAGAAGAAAGATCATGTCGCAATCGCGTTGGAGGCTGATTGCTGCTTACTCTGCGCTAATGACGCTAAGATACTTAGATGATAACTGATGTTTATGTATTAGTGCAAGTCATCTGCTTCGCTCCAGCATGAAGGCAGGCTTTTGATGGGGAGTTTGTTGAGGGCCTATCTGTACGGAAAACCACCTATTGATCTTGCAGAATCGTTGACTTATGTGTATGTAAATGAGAGAACCCTGATGAGTGTATATATACATTCATGCTTTTATAATCCTTGCCTACTATCATCCTATTCATCTTTGACAATCCATGACTTGCTCTACTGCCCCATGTATAGTGGTATGAGTAAATAGTATTTCTATCCAGATTGCACTGTAATGGCTTTTCAGATTGCGGTGGTCAATCTGCTAGGTCTACAGTATGACAGGCGCCGCGGCGGCCTGCCAGGCAACCGCCCATTATGCCTGGGGCATCAGCGAGGATACATGTACTGTAGCAGTACACAGTGCAAAGCAGAGCTTCTCTGTAGAGCCTTCCTCCTCCTTTTCCTTCTCCATGAATGGGGCTCCTGATTGTTGACATAGCATTTCATCTATGCTTCACCCCTCTCATTCCACCTTTCCACTTTGTAAGCCTGAACCCCACGACTATGTACTGTTTGCTAATTAATACGCGTCAGGTTTTGCCTATAGATAAGTGGCAAAGAGATTCAGGCGAGGTTACGCTATGAATTTGTGAATATCAGGAATGACTACCTCTGATCCGATCTGTCGCTGAATTAGGCATCCACTGCACTTCCAACAGGCAACAATGCCAGAGAACCTGTAAGAGCCTAAGAGGGACTTCCAGATATCACTAGCACCAAGACAACCCTCGCCCCACTTGGCCCTTAAGCCCAGCAGAGGTGGGGCCATGGGGGTGGTGAGTATACCAGACCCTGGTCGAAGTTTTCTCTGTCCGGATGCACTACTCCATACCCCGATCCTCAACCTCAGAATTCATACAGTGAATGTTGATATAACAGATCCATCTGCTCCATACCCCAAAATTTCCATGGGTTATATGTGCTGGCAAAAATCCCAGTGTGCCGAGACTTTTAGTATGTGTATTGATGGATCCACTCGAAATACCCGAGCACTCCGTGCCCTCGATCCAGGGTTCATTGGATCAATAAACTCCCCAATTCAGGCTTAGTGTTGTCATAGGCCTGGTCTAACTGAGACACTTTCCAGTCCATCACTGAACTAACTTCGTCTCAAAAAAAGTACCACTGCACTGTCCTCGAGAACAGTCCGACATCTCGTTTCTGCCAATGCTGACCGCTCTAATCGCATATAAAGCGTCTGTCTACCGGTTTTTTGTTGGTCACCAACTTGCTCCAGCCTTGACACCTCAGCGGACTCATCAGGATGGTCACCCCCGAGCTCAAGAGCAGACTGGACGATCTGCCTCTAGAGATCTTGCAGATGATTCTCGCAGATCTGGATCTGGAGTCCGTCAAGAACCTCCGCCTGACCACCCGCACGCTCGCCGAGAGATGCGCGGGACCCCGGTTCCAGCTCATTCAACCCGTGCTCGATTTCTCGCGGCCGAACCTGCGCGCTCTGCACGCCTTGGCGTGCGACCCGGCTATCAGCCCAAAGGTCCATTCCCTGACCTTCCTGGCCACTTCCCCGGATACGCGGGAGTTGGAGAACAACGTCGAAGATGGATGTTACGAAGTGGTGGAATGGAGGGGGCCCATGTTCCAAAAGTTTAACCGACGTTATAAACCCGAGGAACTGGAACAGGCTAAGTCTGATCTGCTTTGGCTCAGGCAACAGCAAGAAGCAAGAACCCAGGAGCCGCCCAGCGAGATGATCGAGCTCTTGCAGCTCGCATTGAAGGGGTTCAGCGCGCTGGAATCGATCCGCTTCGATGGCGGGGTCATCCGCGGACGGGCAAAGAGAGAGTCCCCGGGGTATAAGGAGTGGCAGCCGGTCTGGGCGCGAGCTTCGCACGTTCTCTCAAGCGTGCTGACCGCGATGGTGCAGAGTGGGGTCTCGGTGAAACGTCTCGATGTTTACCGCAACACGAGCCGATGCTGTATTCAGGTTGATGAGCTCGCCGCACTCGCGGCGGGGTTTAGCCCGTCCCAGCTGGAGGTACTCGGCAAGGGTCTGGAATCACTCCAGCTGAGCATGTCCGGGATGTTAAAGGATGCCCATGTCAAAGAAATGGAGAATGAAGAAGATGATGATGAGGAGGAGGAGGAGGAGGAGGAGGAGGAGGGCGAAAACAATGACAAATCAAATGACGAGGAAAAGACCCCTCCCGTGATAAAGGATGAAGTACTAGACATTACGGCCCTCTTCCTCAGATCTGCCCCGGCTCTTCGCGAGTTGGACTTGACGTTCCGGCGATCCGGCTCCAAAGAGAAGGACTATTATTGCTATGACTGGGTTATCGACAGAATTGCCCATGAAACCCAATTTCTGATGTTGGAAAAATGTTCGTGCTCCGGGTTGGCGGCTAAGGGGGGGTCACTGCTGCTCTTCCTCCAAAAGCATCCTACACTCCGCTCCTTGACTCTGCGGGAATGCTTCTTGACTTCTGGGTCCTGGACCCCGATCTTGACTCATCTACAGTCGCTGCCCAGGCTTGAGACTCTCAGCCTCTCGAATCTGTTTGGCAAGCACATGCAGAACCGGAAGTATGAACAACGACGGCGTCGTCCTTCTTCGCCATCGCTTTCCTCGATGTCCAAGACAAAGAATGAGCCCGATGACGAGCTGGAGGAGGGCGACGGGATGGTGGTTCTGCTGCCAGTTTGGAATGTCCCTTCCAAAGACCGTTGGGCCGGCTGGTTTACCGAGTACCCCCATTCCAATGGGAGAGCGGTGCACACCAGGGACTTCACTCGCGAGGAACTGGCCAAGGGACTGGTATTTCAGCCGCTAGCCAAAGGGCCAGGATGCGCGATCGGCTCTGCCCAGGCCATGAATTGGAGGAATAGTCGGCGAGAGCTTTATGCGCCGCTTGTATAGGTCAGTGATGTGGGGTGCTTGCAAATCTGTTTGTGAAGGCGGTCCTATCATTGAAGCATACAAGGCTAAAGGGAATGGTAACTATTACAAAATCTTGAAGCCTTTTATACTGTGCGCATTTAGGTCAGCAATCCGACACGGGGAAGTCAGACTAACAAGTACTATTGCTATAACGACGAAGTTGGTCAATTACTGACTCACCAGCGGTTGTGGTAACTGACTGAACGATTCGGTCTTGGGCCGACCCAAGTCGCTTTCACTTGACTGTGGAGACTCTAGTACCTCTAGTGCCTGTCTCGCCCCACCGGCTAGTACTAGAGGACCCGCCAACTTGGAAGGGTCCTCCACCTGCGCCATAAGCGACATCGTCGGTCTGAAGACAGATACACTAATCCTCATGAAGATAATGTACTCACATTCAAGTCTGATGCACACACGCCGATGACGTGTTCGGATAAAGGCCCTTTCCAAGAAGAAGCCTCAAATTACCGGGAAGGCAGCCTACTGCCCTTTCCGACGCTCGAGCGCCGGCGTCGAAGAGCGCGCTCACAATTTCCGAGTGCGCCCCGTCGATGGCGATGGCATGCCCCATGCTGAGGTCCGCGATCTTCAGTCGTCGCCGGCAGGCGAGAGTTCCCTGGACTTGCAGTAAATCACCAGCACTGCAGACAGAGTGAAGGCCTGGACAAAACTATCATAGTGGGGGACAGTCAGTGGTAAGTGAATTGTTATATTTTATTTATGGCAAATTACTATTTTGATTAGTCAATTTATTTAACTCGGAGCCTCGGGCCGAAAGCAGAGCAGGACCGGAAGAACTCTCGGATATTGACTCCTTAGCTACATGTATTGTACAGTACAGTATCCAGTGTAACTTCACAACCTCCCTCTGTACTCTTGGTCTGGTTGAATCCTCATCCTCGCCAAGGGCTTTCCATTTGACTCTACGGCAGCTTCTCACCCGCTGCTCTCTAGCTGCAATAAAGCACTGCGTTCTTATCTTTCTTCTCCCTTTAGACTCGCTGGCTGAACATACGCAGCGTTGTCTGCGGCGCGAAGAAAGGTGAGGTCGGCCACCGCAAGGGTGGATCTAAATGTCTTATCATGGACCAAGGATATTTTCCGTGGGACAACGTGAAAGATGTGACAGGGCTAAATACCGCAGTGCAGTGGTGCAGTGGGCGCTCGCTCAGGCTGACGACTTCAATGTTTAGATCAGCCCTGCTCATCTCCATGGTTCGGCTGTCGGAGCCTACGGCCTTGTGTCGTTCTACTATACCAACGAGGCTCTACCAACAATGTGATCCCATCTATATCTTCAAATGGATTCCACCGCGACGGTGTGCCAAGCGCAGATGGCGGCTTAATATGGTGTGGAATGTGGAGTCCAGCCTTGAACCCCTCAATTCCTCAACTCACCTGTGCGACTACGTACTCAACCATCATAAGCTGTGACGCGCAGAACGCGCGCACCACCACCATGATCACCACCGTGACCCCCTTCGCCCCCAATGCGACAGGGTGTTTACCCGCCAATCAAGGGCAGCAGATTGCTGTCGCATCGTACATCAATCCGCTAAGTGACCCGGCCGCCTGGGATCGGCTGGTCAATTACGATGTGAGCAAAATGCCTATCCTGGTAGCCAACGTCCTGAACGGTCCGGATTCGACCGTTGACTCGAGCTGGCAGGATGTGATCGAGCGAGCTTCGTCTGCGGGCAAAACGGTTCTCGGCTATGTGCGCACCGGATACCTGGGCGTGAGTGACCAGATCTTCCAGACGCGGCTGGGCTCGGGCAACCTGGCAGATTGGACCGCTCAGATCGAGGAAGATGTTGATATGTGGTACAAGCTGTATGGCGACAGCATTGGTGGCATATTCTTCGATGAAGGCTGGCCCGAATGCGGCATCAACGATGAATACGTGGACTTGTACAAGTATATCAACGCCTATACAAAGCGTGCTCACCCCGGAGCGTACACTGTCCTGAACCCTGGGTCGCCCATGGCGTCTTGCTTCGAGGATACCATGGACACCCTCCTTACTTTCGAGCAGAGCTACGACTCTTACATTGACAACTACACACCTAACGACTGGACTCCCAGAGATCCGCGGAAGCTATGGCACACCGTGTACAACGTGTCCGAGTCTGCGGTTAGCGAAGTAGTCCAGTTGGCTAAAGAGCGCGGGGCGGGCTTCTTGCAGCTCACCGATGACATGTTGCCCAATCCATACGACACTCTGCCCGCGGACTCGTACATCCAAAGTCTGATGGATGGAATTGACGGCGGTTCGCTGTCGAATGCAGGTGCAGTCGATTGGGAATCGGACGGCGCTCCGGGAGCCGTGACTGGACTGACAGTGATGACCTCAGACTACAGTTCGGCGAAGTTATCTTGGGCCGCGGCCTCGAATGCTCAGGGGTATCATGTGTATGCCAGTGGTAGTCTTGCTGCCAGCGTTCCCAGCTCAATGACCGAAGTGACGATCGGCAGTCTCGCATCCGGAACCAGCTACACGATCTACGTCAGTGCCGTGGGAGAAGGCGGCGAACTGGGTTCATCTTCGAACCAGGTTACCGTGACCACCAAACGACTACCAGGTGGGAGGACGGTAACAAATTACAAGTCCTCTCCCCGGGAGAACTCGACGGTCATTGAGGCTGATGTGCTGGTGCCTTATTCCTCCGTCCGCCTCTACATCTGGCACTCGCTCGAGTGCGACTTGGACGAGGATCCAGGATGGGGTATTAACTTCAACGTGGATAACTACGTCTACACTCACTATATGGTGGACGGCAGGACTCTTTACCGCTACGACGGGGTCTTTGTAACGGGGTCCACCGCGCCCCCGTGGTCCTGGGAGGTGACCGACACCGTCATGCTCGACATCAGCGGCTACACTTACACGTGGACACTACCCCTGGGCACGTCGACTGTTGATACGAGCAAATTTGTGGTGCAGGCGCAGGGCTACAACCCCATGATTAACGCCTTCGAACCAGACCCGTCCGACTATGACTGCCAGGGCTCGTCCGTGTGTACCACCCCGGAGTGTTGAAGTGGTGCGATCACGCTGCGAATGACTTGTATCGAGACGACGAGATAAATAATCATTCGGCCGAGGTGATTGAGTGAGTCATTCATCACAATTAGAGCCATTTTGGCGCGAGTCCGGACCTTATATCTCTAAGCATAGTGATAGCGTCTACAGCACCCAGAGTGGAAACTGCTGGGCCGATCTGACCCAGGGTTGCGGTGTCTTCATTCAAGGCCAAAACTGCAGTATCAGCGGGAACGACATGTGGGATGACCACCAGAATATCCGCAACATCGGCGGCTGTAAGAAGTGCGGCTTGTACCATCGGAAAATGGGTGTTGGGTGACCGTTGATTATGTCCATCAATGCGATAATCATCAAGATCTACCATGGCCTTGCAGGGAGCGAACAGGGAAGAACTATCATCCTTATGATACAATCGATGTTAATGACATAGAGTGCATACCCAACGTATCCAAACCACGTATCTCCTTTGCTGCAAGCTTCAAGTCTTAAGTGGAACGCATGGTGGGGGGTTAGACTCATGATGCCATTGAGATTATTCGATTTCATATTACCGAGTCTAGTAGGCTATCCCGGTTTAGTAAGGCCACTCCGAGTCCGGCCCTTTTCCAATGCTTCTATAGCAGCACAAACGACCTCATAGATGCATCGCAAGCTTGTAGGCCTTGCGCAATCGGGTCAGTCTTATAGCTTTGTCTAGGTACAAGATGAGTTATGGGACAAGTAGCCTTACTTTTTCATCTGATACCGTGAGAGAGATCGCGTGGTGCTTCGTAGTTTATGGAATAGCGATTATGATTCTGATCGATCTGAGGAGAGCACGAAGGTACTAGATGGCTTGAACCCAAGCGGTCAGACTGGGCGTCGCTGGCAGCAATGCTGCCAGAGATAGCGTACGCAAGAGCACTGCAAGTCTATGCGTTGTCCGTCATACTATGAGTGTGGAATCCCGATTGTAGTCAGGAGAATATCTGCATCCTGTCAGTCATTTCAGTGACCACAACTTTACGCGGGCACGGGAAAGGAACAAGATTTTTCGGGCGATAAGAGCTGAGTCATACGACGTTTACAGAATATAAGAGACGAGAGGAAACATTAAGCGCATTGAAACTTTCCCCTATAGCCATGTAGTATCAAGCAGAAAGTATATTTTGTTACAGCATCAGCAAAGCAAAGCAAAGTGATCATCCTCGACAACTCACCCTCGAGCGATCACATTCCGCTTCACATTCACCCCAGACATGACCATCCTCCATCCACCTCTCTTCGGCGTCTGCACCGTCAACTTGAAATTCTCCCGCGGGAACAGCGTCACATAATTGTCAGACCAATAGACCGGCGTGATTTCGCCGGCCTCGCCCTCTTGCTGGCTCGCCGCATCGACGACCATCAAATGCATAAAGAAAGCCGGGACATCGGCCTTGTTCTCCAGCGTCACCTCGAGCGTCGACCCATTCTCTCCCTTCTGCTTGACGGTCACGCTCGCCAGCACACTCGCCGTCCGCAGGTTGCTCAGCCCGGTGAAATCCGCATACCGCGAGACCGGCGTGGTGTACCAGTTCGATTTGCCCCAGTCCAGCACGTCGTTCTCCTTGGTCACCCAATACACATTGCGACTGAGGACTGACCCATTGAGGGCATCTTTGAGCAACAATCTCAAGAACCCAACGCCAGTTAGACGACTCACCCCGTCCGCCACGTTGGCGATGGGTAACGATGCCCCCGGCTCGGTCTCCTCCAACCCCACCGCCTGCTTATCCACTATCTCCCCATCGGCAGCGGTGATCAATTCCACCTCCACCACTCTCTTCCCCGCCTTAACCCCTCCAGTCAATCGGGGGCCCTTTAGATTGACCACACGCACCCCCCTGCTCACGTAGTCGTAGGCAACGTGCTCACCCCGTGCCGCCGCCGTCTTCGTCCCAAAATATGCCCC